CGGATATCGGTCTCTGTCACGACTTTACCCGGCTTTTAGTGGCTTAGAGGACACAACTAAACCCAGCTAAAATAATCGCTGTCCAGCGCGGTTTAGCAGGAAGCCGATTCCCAGATGCACTACATTCGATACAGGCTGTTTCACTTGACCGATTACTATACAAGATTTGGATAAGTAGGCTACCTCTAGTATACGTTGGTGACGAAGACATTGTGCACGGCCTCCCTCCATGATAACGGGCCCGCAGAGGCATCCGAGTGAGATTCGCCTTTACTCAACGCATCGGATGACTGCAGCCGCGACTTCTCCAATCGGTCCAGGGCATCGGCCACCTCTGAGGAAACGGTCAAGCTATGGAGTGCTTTCCCGTTGACGTTGAGATAGCGAAGCCACTCGCAGAAGTAGAATACTTCGCTTGAGAGACGGGGTTCCGATGTCGGGTGCAGACGGATGTCGAGGTCGCGTAGACGCGGCGCCCATGAATCGAGTCCATACTTCCACACTTGAAGAAGGGAGTACGCGGTCTTGTCGACCTGGAGGCGTAGTCGTTGGAGGTGTTCGTAGGATGGACCAGTCATCATGTCTTCGAACGACTCGGCATGTCGAAGGCGGCCGTTGTACTCGACATCCGGCGGATGACCCGTGTCTGCGGCCTCGTGGGAACTCCACAAAGACAGTCGTGTCAAGTATTGTATACGGCCGTCCGGCACCTTGTTGGCGATGCGCAGCGCAGCCTCGACTACTGTCGAGCGCCTGGCGCTCATCCAGCGCTTCAAGGCGGTGCTGATGTGGGCTGCGGAATGTTTCGATGGATCGGTGCAGGTGAGTACGAGGCGTGTATCGGGATTGGACGGGACGAGGTGTTCCAAAAGAATAAACTCCGCTTCTTTGCTGCCTGAGTATTCGAGCACTCGGAGTGTATCCGGGAGAGGCAGTTGTCGACTATCGGTAAACGGGTGGAGGGGTGAACCCATGAACGCTTTGAGGTTGGCTTGGTGCACGACAAGGCGCTCGAGAGTGCTCGCAGCACTCAATATCGCCACGAAATCGGCGAGGTCCTCGAAGTCAAACTGAATGTCGCTCAAATACAGTACTACAAGCCTTCGATACACTGCACGAGCTACAATGCCACCTGCTCGAGGCCTTGGGAGTAGCCCGTCGATCTGCAGTGAAGCCAAGCAGGACGCTCTGGACGCGAGAATGAGGACCGACAAGAGGTGTTTAAGATAGATGAGCCTGTGATCGTTTTGAACTTTATTCCGATCGACATGTAACTGGAGCGATTTCAGGGATGTCAGATGATCCGGCCAGTTTGCTATTCCGGTGGCGGTGATTCCGAAGGGATCGCAGTCGGGTACGCGAAGTGAGAACGCCTCGATGCGGTGACCATGGGATCGCAGAAGGCGAGTCCATTGAGACAGCTCATCTTCTCTGTATTGCGAAGGAACGTTTATGTGGATGTCTGCCGCAAGAGGGTAGGAGCGCACGAGCGACCGCTTAATGAATTCTGTCGAATGGCCTACGTTCGACAGGCGCGTATGGAGCGACGGGAAACCGGTGACAATCCCCCAAAGTCGGCGGCACAGCGTCACAGACACATTCCAAGGGTGAGCGCGCGGGTATGTGGCGCTCTCAAGAGTCGCGTCTCTCACACGACGGATGATGTCCAGGAGGAGCTCGTCCGGCAGCGATAGGAGGGGACTATGCGCATTGTGTAGCTGTCTCGAACGCTGTACAGAGATATCTAGCTGTCCCATATCGTCCTTCACCCGCTCCTGGTACGCCTCAGGAGTATCGCCAGGGCCCATAAGGGCGAGTATTGCACTCTCAGGTCGCGCCCAGGGGCTCAGGTTGCTACTGTGTTATTAGGTCGTCTGATGGCAAACATTTGCACTGAGATACTCACGTAGATTCTGCGTGCGCCATCTCCATCACACTGCGAGGTGAAGAGGGTCTTTACAGTAGACCAGCCTATTCGCGTTGGTGACGGCCAAGAGCAGAGCTCGCGCACGAGGGATGCCTGGGAACCTATCACGTGGACGTTTACTACTCTGTACTTTCGCGCACCGCTCGCTCACCACGGGCGGCCACGACCAGCAACATCATCCATGTCTATGCGCTCTACTCCCGCGGCTGCACCGCATCGTGGCCGCTGACGGACGATATGCATTCATAGCCAACAATTCCAGCTCGTCGTTCCCCCTCAACCCCAGCGGACCACGTTTCAAGTGATCAGTCGCGTCAGGTCGCGTCGTCAACGCAAAGTACGAGGGATGGAGAGCAGTGGTGCGGGTCAGCGCGGACGACCAGGAGAGGGAGGAGAGGTTGCTGTGATGGTCTTGAGGCAGGATGAGAAGGCCATTGCTGGGCCTTCGACATCAGCAACGACACGGTATGCTCATATGATAGGGTATCTCGTGCATACATCTACTGATACTGTACGGGTCTAGGTCTAGGCAAAGTAGAAACTCCCGCCCGGGCTACCTCGCGGGATGCTGGAGACTGATCGATATGAAGGAGACACGTCCCCGCGAGGGTCAAGTTTATTGCCCGTCCTACTTATGTAGGAGTCCCCGATGTTGAGCGGATACGATGTCTTTATCATACAAGACTATCGACATACATGCTCTTGCGTACAGACCGTAACCGGCTATGTTCATCCCGTCTTTCTCTTAGCGTAGTGATCGAAGAGCTCGCTACCCCGTACGAAGGTCGCCCGAACTTATTCGACCCTTTCCCCCCGGTACGATGGTCCAAGATATGTATACAGCCACTAGGCGGCGGCGAAATCCTCTAGGCCGGAAGTGATCCTGTTGCTCACGCGGAGCGGGGCATAACGTCGACATCGGACACGAGTTCTCCCAACGAGAGTGAGGTATCTTGCTCGTATGGCAAGGCGGCGTCGCGCGTGGTTGATCCAACTGCTTCTAGAGCAGCGACGACCGACATCGGTGCCGTGAGAGTTTTCAGTGGCCCTGAGTGATCGAAGATATCGCACAGGAGCTGGTATAGACCATAGACGTCACAAGTGCGCACATCCTCTGCCGGATCGGCCACGATTACGCGGCTTAGGTATGGTAACTGAACAAGGGCGCCTCCATCATCGTCGGGAAGAGAAGATAGTCGATATGAGTCCACAAGTTGAAGCTCAAGTGTGTGCAGAGTGCGGTAATTGGTGCCGACGTGCTGAAGTAAGTGTTGGTATGTCATGTATTTGCTGATATCGGATTGGAAAGATATGTATGGTACACCATCCCCTTTCTTGAGGGAGGAGGACCAGAGATCGAGGTACGCTCTGGGTTTGGCAACGGACGATGACCCGTCTTTACGGGTTCGTAGGGAAACTCGAGCTGGTCCATTCAGTGCTGTCGACCAAGAGCTGATGGCACGTTCCCAATAACGTGGGGAGGTGCGATCGCGATAGTTTTCTATCTCCGCTGACAGGTTCAAGTGCACTTCGAGCGAAGGGACAAAGCGCGAAAGGAACTCGACGCTATCGTTGGAGATATGCCCAGAGACGTCTAGCTCGCACAGATAACTTGACGTTGAGAATGATCCAGATTGCGGAAGGCGTTGAACGAATTCGATTTGGTGTACCTCGAGTCTCTTCAGCCGAGAGGCGTTAGCCAGTGCACCTGCGATATCCAAGTATCCCTTAGAAGGTGAGTCTAGGAGTGTCACATGGCTGATTGATAAAGCGACGAGATTGCCGAAAGTATGACTGTAATCGCTAACGGCGACGATGAAGTCCACGCGGTAGAGCAGAAGCGTAGAGAGCTGGCTAGGCTCATGAGCTCCAACACCGAAGGAGACGCGTAAGGATTCGTCTCGCACATTCGGTTCAGTGTTCCCAGTTGTGGCAAGCACTGAAGCAGTGAAGACACCCATTTCATAGTCCTAGGGGATATGGCCTCGACCGAGAGCGTATTGACCCTATCACGGTGCTTTTGGAGAAGGGCCCTCAACTGATTTGCTCTGATTTGCGACAGTGGATCGGGAATGGTGAGAATTACCGAGACGGGCATAATTCCTGAGCGAGGGAGTGCATGCGAGATATAGGCGAGTGACTGTATAGAGTTGGAAAGACATGTATGGAGGTAAGGGAATTCGATGATGATGCGCCTGAACCGACGACAGACTGTGACCGAGTCGTTCCAAGCACGTAGGGCCCGGTGATCATCGCGTTTCAAGACATCCTGGGAGGAAGCAGAAAAGAAGTGCGTCATATCGCGTACATGAAGAAAGATGGCCGCGATGAGTTCGTCAGGAAGTGATAGGAAAGGCGAGTCGGAGTTGTACAACTCTTTCGCTTGTTGAAGAGCGCGTTCGAGACAGCGTATGTCTTCGGCCACGGCCTTTTGATGAGACGACGGTGTCTCTTCGTGAGTCCGATGAGCAAGCCTAGTGAGTGCAAGGCGCGTCCAAGGGTTACTGGGGTGGCGGGTCAGTATGATGGGCGCCGGAGGGATGAGACGAGTGAGGCACGGACCTGGCATCGCTCTCATCCGTAGCTCTCATGATATCAATCTCCTCTATCGCGAGGGCGGGCAAAGTCTCGACGAAATGGTGGGGACAGGCAAGTGCGTTTTCGTGTCCTGATCAGGGTACCCGCCATATCTCATCGTCTGATCGGGGCGTGCGATCGCAATCGGATCACTTGATCAGCCCGTATGTGCTTCCGTTCAATCATTGGACTGCCATGAAGGGAGATCGACAGGCAGTTTGTTCGCATTATCTATACACGTCGCGGAATCGGGTCTTGCTACACCAGATCATAGTCATGCGCTATCTAACCCTAATAGCTAATATCTCAGATACGGCATCTCTCCACGATAGCAGGTCCGCAGGAGCGTCTGACTGTCGTCCTTCCCCCGCTGAGCGCATCGGAAGCCTGCGACCTCAACTCCCCTAGACCGTCCAAGGCACTTTCCATCTCCGTAGAGATGGTCAGCGCAGGCAGCACTTTGCCCTTCACATGGCGATAGCGAAGACATTCGCAGAAGTAGTAGATCTCGCTCGAAAGACGCGGTTCCGAGGTGGGATGAAGAAGGAGGTGAAGATCGTGAAGATATGGAGCCCACGAGTCCAGTCCATACTTCCAGTTCCGAAGGAGGGAGTAGGACGTCTCTTCGGCTCGCACGCGTAGCCGCTCAAGATGTCCGTAGAACGGGCGATTGTCAGATGAGGCAGAGACAAACTTCGAGCTCACGTTAGCTCCTATGCTATTTCCTTCCATTGTATCAGCGAGGTTGGACTGTGAGTTTGAAAGGCGAGTGTCGAGTACACGTACGTATGAGTGGTGGTCGAGAGCAAGCCGCGATGATGTCGCGAGCCAGGGCCACCCAGCGGAATCCGAGCTTGTCGAGCGAACATTTACTAGTAGGTCCCCAAGCCTCTGCGTTCTATGCCGGAGTGCAGCGTTACTACTAGTAACCGCATGCATATTGGACTGAGCACTCATAATAACATCCCACCGGCCCTCGGGATCACACGATAGAACCAGACTCAACTTGAACGGTTGCATGCGCGTGCGTGTTCGTATTCCGTTCTAGCAGTTGTATGCCATCTCAATTCTCTATCCTAGCTAAACGTCAATGCGTTCAACTGCGTCAAGGGTGGCGATGATGGTGGCGGTTGCTGATCGAGTGCATTTGACGCGCGTTGCGCGGGGACTGAATTACAAGCCAAGCTCCTTCTCGCTTCGACCACCATCATGGCCGAAGAGACATCGATGTACGCATCCATGTATTTCCTCGTTTATCGTTGTGGGTATACTAGGCTCATTGAATCATAGCTCTCCCTGGTCGTCTCTGGTGAACTCGCGCTTCTCCGAGAGTGCGCTTTCGCGTGTGCCACCCGGCCTCCGTTTGCAGACATTGGACGCAGAACTCAAAGACGTCGAGAAGGCCCTCATTGATGCTCGCCGGCTTCGAAATCTCAACACATGGCCGTGCAAGCTTCCAGCTGAAGTTCTCATATGCATCTTCGAATGGCTCCAGCCGATGTGGCCTCCAGAGCGCCATCGGACTGAATCGGGACAAACGTATAGCGCCGGTTGGATGTCAGTGATGCATGTCTGTAGCATGTGGCGAGAGGTGCGTGCGTTATACGCAGTGATTAGGCTCGATGCTCACAGCTGTCGTAGATTGTCATCGGTGTACCGTCATTATGGTTCAAGCCGACATGGAACATCTTCGACGTAGCCCCCCAGTTCATTCCCGACATCATCTCACAATCCCAGTTAAACCCACTCGACCTATCAATAGACTGGTGTGACCAGTTAGGCGGAGTGCTGGACGACACTGATAGAGCTACTTGGCTTTCTTCCTCCATCCTGCGACGTGCCGGATGTCTGGCCATAGCTGCCGAAACGGAGGATTTAGTACTCATAGCAGCCCGTCTTCCTCCTGGCCACGAGATGCAACAACTACGAAGGCTTAGCGTGGTATTCATCTACACGGGGGAGGACCCTGTTTTGCCGTCTTCCCTCAAGAGCCTATCTGGTCTGACAGAATTAAATCTACAGAATGTGCAAATACCATGGCATTCCCCCATCCTCTCTCCGTCTTTGACGGATCTCTACCTGTCGCAGAATGAAGGGGATATGCAACCATCGCACGACGATATCGTGGGACTCGCAGCTTCGCTTGTATCGCTCAAGAAACTCCACCTAGAGGACGTGGTGCCCTTGCCCGAGCCTGTACGAGAGCGATCCCTCCCGATCGTTTTTTCCGCGTCATTACGAAGCATTGATGTGCTCTCACCCTGTGAAGAGCTTGCAGCGGATGCCTTCGTCTTCTTCTCACGCGTGAATACGCCTCGCCGGTGCACTCAGGAGTTCTACATCCCTGTCGTCGGCAAGCCGCATTCGCCCGACATGTCTCTAGCTGACAAAATCCTGAAAGAACACATCCCCCGTTTTTCGTTTGCGACAGACACCAACATCGACGCGCATTGCCTTGACTTGTCAGTCATCAGCATCCGGATTCTCGGCGTCGAATCTGGCCAACCGGAGTCCGCATCGCAGCACCCTTGGCCGTCTGATAGCGACCCTCGTTATACAAAACACTATCTGCAATTCTTCGAGTACGAAAAGCCGGCCCCATTGCGCATGAGCAAATACCTTGCATCCGTCGCTCTGCGATCTCTGCATAACCTTGCGCTGGACATTCCCACCATTCGTGACCTCTGCAGTGATAACGCTTGGCCATGTCTACTGCGTGCGAGCGAGGTCCGTCGTGTGGGCGTTCTCAAACCTTCCAAAACATGGATGTGCCAGCACATCTCGATTCTATTGGACGCACTTGTGGGGCATCATGCTCGCGACGGGCAGAACGAGGCAGGCGTGCTATTCCCTCGCCTGGAGGTCGTGGCCCTGCCTTTGTTTGAGAAGGAAGCCGAGTATAGCGGGCTGAAAGCCAACATCGTCAACCTGGTACATGCCAGGCGCGAATTGGGAGTGCCTGTACAAGAGCTGGTCATACCGGAGAGCGCCTCGGCTTGGTCCATGTGGAGCACCATGCGAACGTATCTGAAGATCACGCCTGTCGACTACCCCTGGACCGAAAACGCATCGCCTTTTGTATACGATTCCGACACTGTGTACGATTCCGACTCTGAATACGACTCCGACCCGATGTAGTAGCATACCTCTATCGTACGATATAATCTGACACATGATATAGTTGGAGTGATCTTCCTTCGCCATTCACAAGACGGATAGCTATCGAGCATGGGAAAGAAACGTGTATCGAGACGACGCGTGGCAACAGAACCCTTCATCTTGTCTCTCACATCCAGGTATGTTGGTTGGAACCTTCAAACCCGCTTTCGGCATTTTCCACCGTGCAAAACATGACAGTAGCGACGATGATCTGAGAGAGAGCATTTCTACACGGCGGTATGACCGGGCCTGAGAAGTCTGAGCCCAGGAGTCTCTTCCGTCAATGCATTTACCATCTTCGTTGAGATAGTCAGCGCGCGCAGCACTTTGCCACCAGCGAGAGACGGCAAAGCCATCCGCGAAGGTGGGAAGCATCGTCTGGAAGGCGTACCGAATACGGATTGTGGATCCTTGCGGCGCGACTTGCGGCCAGTGCGGCGCTTGAACAACTCGTCACCAAGTGACGCCGTTATCGAGCAGTATACGATGGATATCTGCGGTATATACTATTAGGCAATCCGTACATATAGACATTGGAAATTCCTTCGTGTTCACTCATGTATCGTACATGAAGCTCAAGGGTTGACTAGTTGACAGCTCAACGTTCACCCAAGTAGTCCCCGTTCAGCACCATCAAACCGCTCATCGCCAATTGCTGGCAAGTCAATCGCCCGTTTTTCGACCCCATGAAACGATCCCGGGCCTGACTTCGGCACGCTGCCCACTTTGCGTACCGTCGAGCCGTCGCTGTCCGCGTCTCTGGCAACGCCACGCTCCTCATCGCCGCGGGTAGATCGCGAGTGATCCGACGGTGCCGAGCTCGAGCTGAATGTGTCGGAAGCATGCATGTCGACCTTGTGGACGCGCGCGGCGTGGAGGCTCTTCTCGATGATTGAGCGGCGCGGCGCTACGAGTAGGTTGATGACGGCTGGATACATCGCCTGACAAATACTGCGTCAGCGGTGTTGTTGCGTCGCGAGAAAGGGGGTACGTACGAAGAGGGGCACTGCGTAGTAGTTGAGCCAGGATTGCGCCAATGTGAGAGTCGAGAAGGTGACGCCGGTGTACCATGCCTGTGCATGGGAAGGTTAGGTGTTCGTCGTAGAGCGGGACGGGGAGGGGCATCACGTACCCATAAGACGATGTAGGCGACGCCGGACTCTACCATCACGGCTAGGATAGCAAACGACCGCAGATTAGACCGGTGCATATAGCTGCGAACGATCTTCCGGTGGCGCCTGGATGAGCATGTTCATGATTCAACAGCCTACGATCAAACATAATCGAGGGGAACGCACCACAACTTGAACGCAATCAGCGCTGTGGACGAGACATAGGTCCAGCCGGTGATAGCCAGGGTAGCGGCAGCTAGAGGCGTCCAGACATAGCCGTACGACTTCGCCAGGAGCAAGGCGGTGTGCGATTGTGGGAAGTAGGAGAGCACGGCGTAGATTGTCGATACCACGTACAGCGCTGATGGGAGTGTTTGCGTTTGAGCCCTCGACGTCATACACATAAGAGGATAGAGGCTTACCCGCTTCTGCGACGAACATGAAGATCAGGAAGAGACCTAGCCATCGTGGGCGCCCGTAGATGACATAGGCGCGCCATTGAATGACGCCGTCTCCGAAGACGATCTACATCACGATTCAGTCTATCGTTCCAGCGCTCATATAGGCCAACCTCAAGCAATCTCACCAGGATGTATCCTATGATTTGCTGGGCATACAGTGCTCCGGGCTGATCATGTAACCATGCGAGAGCGAGAGGCGTGGTGTCTTGTAGTTGAGGAAGAAGAACGTAGATGTCCCGTTGAAGCATGTATACGCCCAGAGCCCAGTGGCCGGAGGATAAGCCGAACATCGCGAGGATTATGAATAGGAAAGGGCGCATGAGTGGCGATGTTTTGCGGTCCATCCTGCCGTAGTGTGAATTGAGCATATCACGGTGTGTAAGGATGACACTGTGGTACTGACCATCGGATGCGCAGGATGTAGAGAGTGAGAATCGCATGTAAGGCTACGGGATGACGAAGTCAGGGAGTTATACGGTGATAGCTGGATGTAGCGCTGAAGTACGTACCAACGAGAAACGTTTCCAGGAGCAAAGGAAACACTCGGTCCTCAGCGATGATCGTGACTTGCGATACATGGACCACGGCGTCTGTCGCTGGGGCCATCGTGAGCGTGAAAAAGATGTCCTCGAAACACGGGCAAGCACACGCACATATATGTGCCCAGGCAAGATACCTGAAGCGTGATAGTCTCCGAAGAGTTCATAGCATGGAGCTGTAGTGCGACTATCCACGCGGCGCTGAATGTTGGGGCTTTGATGCACACTCCTCTTCCAGATTTGTAAACGGCATATCCATAACGGCTTCAGGCGTCCGCCCTGGTGTCCGGCGCTTGCTGATCCTGGGCGTAAACGGTTTGAACAGCGACTGGATTGCATACCGATCACTATTACGCGGTCAGTCCGACGAGGGCGGCTGGTGCTAAACAAGTGTCAAACTGGCGCGTGACCGCGAGCAGGATCTTCGACGACGACGCGATGTGCGGCCATGCATAGAAGCTGCGCTCCTCATGCTACTTTCAAATGGCAGCGACGTATGCGTATGCATGTCACTGCGGAAGAGCTTAGGCGCTGGGGACCGCGAGTCGGGGCTCGAAAGGTAGAGAGGCGCATTGGGCGTGGACCATGCAGGGAGCACGTCAATGAACATGGATGTACACCTTTGGACCATCCGGGTCACTGCGCGCCCGAAGGCGAGTGAGGCAAATGTGCGTCTATTTACATGAGAAGCCGCGTTGTGTCATCACGGAGGCTGGGTTCAGAAATCTGTTGACCAGTTTGACGTTCGCCGCACGACAGGAAGCGGGTGAGGTGAACAGCAGCCATCATAAGCGTATCATGTGGCTTCCATGATCAGGATGATAGCACACCCGCATTCTGCGGTGCTATGTGGTGAAGTTGTGTGCGCCAGCACGAATGGTTGCATTACAGCAGAGATAGAGTAATGTTACTTGTAGGACTCGGTTCAAGTCTATTAAGGTATTATTAGACACTCGTCATCAATATCACTAGTAGAGGCATACCTATGGGCCCTCAATGCGACAGATTCCTCCTGCCCTTCGCCTTCCTCCTCGCCAATATTTTCCGCCCTCCAAGCGACTTCTTGCGCGCGAGGAACCCGTGCTTGCGTTTGCGCTTACGCTGCGACGGCTGGTACTCCGTTCCAAATGTCCTGTGCCGTACTTGTTGCAATACAGGCGAAGGTGCCGATGCCGATGACGTCGCAGCAGGGATGGGTAAAGCGGTTTGGGTAGTGCGCGTCAACGACAGTGACAGGGATTGAAGGGGCGAGCGCGCGAGGAGTGAGGGTCGCGTGGCGGGCTGCAGCGTCCTAAGGGCCGGCGCCGCCGTTGATGCCGACGACGACGCGCGAGCCGCACGGAAAGCGCCGGCGAGTGCGGGCGGGATACGAGGCATAGTGCTGGCGGTGCGAAAGAGGCGCGCGCGCGGAACCGAGGGCGTCGAGTCGCGTCGGCGTTTGCCGAAGATGCATCTCGACTTTTTGTCGGACCCGTCCTCGGCGTCAACGACGACGATCCTCGCTCGTTTCTTCCGTGCATCTCCCAACTTTACTGGTCCCCACTACTGCCAGCTACAACACGCCACCGCTAGAAATACGCCAGAATGTCCCGATTTTTCCGTGCGCAGGGCGATTCGGACTCCGAGAGCGAGTCGTCGTCGTCCGAGGAGGAGCTCCTCATGTCCGACGACGACGACGCGCCGGCAAAACCCGCGCCCGGCGCGGCGCCCGCGAAAGTGCCGATGTCGCGGTTCTTGAAGACGGCGGGCGGGTCGAGCTCGTCGTCGTCGGACGACAGCGACGAGGACGAGGAGAGCGATGACGATGAGGACGAGGCGCCGAAGAAGAGCGGCATGGGCCGGTTCAGGAAGGACGCGAGCGATGATGAGGATAGCGATGAGGATGTTAAAAAGGTCGTTAAATCCGCGAGGGATAAGCGGATCGACGAGATGGAGGCTACCGGAAAATCGGTCGACAATGCGCTCAAGATCAACGACTGGACGGCCGTTCAGAACGGTACGCGTCTATTATTTATATTGATCTATATAATGTACTGAATATGTTCTAGAGTTTGACAAGTTGACGCGCATGGTCCAGCGCCAACAGAACATGTCCGAGCCACTCCCGTCGTACTTCATCAAGCAGGTGCTCTCGCTCGAGACGTCGGTCAACGATGCGCAGGCGAAGGAGAAGGAGTCCAAGAAGAAGATGAACGCGCTCAACGCACGTGCCCTTACTGCGATGAAGCAGAAGGTCAAAAAGGCTCAGAAGGAGTATGAGAAGGAGTTCAAGGCCTACCAGGCCGTGCGTTGCTGTCTATATCATCCACTATCTCGTGATCTGAGATGCTGTACAGGACCCCGAGGCGTTCGAGCGCGAGTACAACGCCGCCGTCGCGCCTGAGGTCGCGGCGCCTAAGCCTAAGAAGGCGGCAGCCCGGGCCGCGGCTGCCGATGAGGAAGAGGGCGAGGACGATGGATTCGAGACCGTCGGCAAGGGCGGCAAAGCAAACGTCTACTCTGCCGAGGGCATCCTCAAGAACCTCGCCGCCATCCAAGAGGCCCGTGGTAAAAAGGTGAACTCTATTCCTTTATTCTAGTTCAAGCGCAGATACTCATATTTGATGTATCTAGAACACCGACCGCGCAGACCAGATCCGCGTACTCGAAAAGCTGCTCGCCGTCGCCGCAACGCCCTACCAGCGCATCCGCGTTCTCCTCGCCCTCGTCGCCTCCCGCTTCGACTACAACGCCTCTCTATCCTCCTACATGCCCGTCGAACTCTGGACCAAAGCCCAACACGAGATCGACCAGCTCATCCAGATCCTCGCCTCCGACTCCGCCTACATCGTCCAGGAGTCCGTCGCGGACTACGACGAGCAGCTCGAGCGCTCGCCCGAGACCGAGACGGGCGGCATCGTCAAGATCCGCGGAAGCGTCATCAGCTTTATCGATAGGCTCGACGACGAGTTTACGCGGAGTCTGCAGAACATCGATCCGCATGGGACGGAGTACGTGGATAGGCTCAAGGACGAGAAGGGGCTTTACTGCACCATCTGCCGCGCCCAGGCCTTGTGCGAACGCCGTGGGCAGGTCGACCCTCTCGCCCGTGTGGTCATGCGCCGTATCGAGCATATCTACTCCAAGCCCGACGCCGTTCTCACGGCGCTCGAAGCCGCAGCCGCCGCCAGCGCCGAGGACCAGCTCCCCAAAGCCACCCTCGCCGGCTCAGGCAGCCCGCAAGCGCTCGTGCACGCGCTCTGCGTGCACCTCTACCAGTCCGGCAACATCCTCCTCCGCACGCGCGCCATGCTCAGCCACATCTACCACCACGCGCTGCACAACGACTTCCACACGGCGCGCGACATGCTGCTCATGTCGCACCTGCAGGAGACGATCCACAGCGCGGACGTGGCGACGCAGATCCTGTACAACCGCGCGGTCGTGCAGCTCGGGCTCGCGGCGTTCCGCGTGGGGCTGATCAAGGAGGCGCAGGCGACGCTGCACGATATATTCGCGAGCCAGCGCGTGAAGGAGCTGCTCGCGCAGGGCGTGCAGAATCAGAAGTTCCACACGCTGACGCCGGAGCAGGAGCGGGCGGAGAGGGCGCGGCAGCTGCCGTTCCATATGCATGTGAACACGGAGTTGTTGGAGGCGGCGTTTTTGGTGGCGTCTATGCTCGTCGAGATTCCGAAGCTTGCGAGTATTGAGAGCGAGGACGAGCGCAGGAGGACGGTTAGCAAGCCGTTTAGGCGGTTGTTGGACTTTGCGGATCGCCAGGTGTTCACGGGTCCGCCGGAGAGCACGCGGGACCATATTATGCAGGCCGCGAAAGCGCTGCAGGCGGGCAAATGGAGCGAGTGCCGCGATCTGGTCAACAGCATCGAGATCTGGAACCTGATGCCCGGTTCCGAGGGCGTCAAGGAGATGCTCGCGGCGCGGATCCAGGAGGAGGGCCTCCGGACGTACCTCTTCACGTTCGCGCCGCACTACTCGACGCTCAGTCTCGCGCTGCTCGCCAGCACGTTCGACCTGGACACGAAGAAGGTCGTCGCGATCGCGAGCCGGATGATCTGGAACGAGGAGCTCGCTGCGTCTATTGATACGGGCAAGAACGTGTTGGTGTTCCATCGGGTTGAATTGCAGAGGGCGCAGAGTCTGGCGGTTGCGCTCGCGGAGAGGGTGGGCGCGCTCGCGGATAGTAATGAGAAGGCGCTGGATGTTAGGACGGGGAATTGGGGGGAGAAGGGGAAGGAGAGGGGCGAGAGGGGCGAGGGG